ACAAATGTCTTAGGTATACAGAATATGAAAAAGTAATGTTTTAAATGTGTTACATAGAGGATATTGAATTGAGTTGAATAAAATTATATTATGCGAGCCTCTGGCGAGCATAATATTATTTCATTCAACGAGTTCAATAAATTCAGTTATGAACTTACACGAATTAAATATTCTTTTTATCACATACCCAAAATAAAGACCGTTTAAAGTGAAAACAGAGTAATTTTTCATTGACTCGTCTATATTATAACGCTAACATTTAGCGCGTCTTTACACTATGTTTGTATAACGCTAATGACGTCACGTCAAACTATATGCACGGCCGTGCAATACCATTTTTACGGAGTCGCAAAATCGGCACGGGTGTGTGATAAATGTACATATTTATTTGACGTAACACAAAAGCCACCTTCAAAACGGTAATCAGATTGTCTTTCTCACGAATGATCTAAGGAAGTAAACATATTCCTGAAAAATTGTAATGCTGGTTAAAGTATAATGCCGTAGCAGCCATATGCACTTATTCATTTCTTTAAATTTGATTAAGAATAAAATATTTTGGTTCGTTAACTTACTGTGTTATCCTTTTTGGCGATAGCACTACACAGATTCGGCGTTACTTTTACGTTATGTGTACATTCCTGCGTTAATGCATATGCGCGATTAATATGCTCACTTAATGCTAACTTATCGTGTCTCGACATCAACTTAAAAGGGCGACGACACATAGACACAAACTTATAATACAGCACATTTGGTTATTTAGAGAAAAAGAAGAGATTTCTGAGGGGGGGGGGGGAACTGACAGCAGCCGTGTATATTATTACTGATAAAGATTTTCTACTGTTTATATGGTCCTATATATAAATGGTTGTTTGTGTTTGTATATATAAAAAAAAATCCATAAATCGACTGCAGCCCGTGTATATAAGATTTTCAAACAAACGGTACGGACCCACATAACCGATGTCAATAAATATAATAAAAACGATAACAAAACGTATACATAATTTTTATTACATTCCAAAGTGGCCGCTTTTTTCGGTCGTGGAAACGTTCTTGCCTTGACGTCAAAAGCTATTGAGTTTATACAAACATAAAATTAACATTTGTATAAAGTTAAGTTCCCCAATCTAAAACATTAAAAGATGTAAGCAAAGCGAAGTAAAAAAGTAGATCTATTCAAAAAACTGGTCATGATCCCTGACATGAGTGATCTTCTTTCTGCGCAAATTATTGACGGTAACTATTTGACAATTATAAATAAAAATGTTATTAAAAGGAGAACATCGGTCTTTATATTAAATTAAATACTAACTAATCCTCGCTTTGAAGCTTCGAGCTTTAAAATTATTATTCTGAGTGAGAATAAATTCCATAGTCATACGTAAGAATAACGGAACATTCAGTAAAATTATACTAACATTTAACTCTGGTAGTCCGAATAGAGGGGGACAACTATTCTAAATATTTTTTTCGGACTTCCATGTTACTCCCTTTTGGAGTTTCATTCTTCTTTAGTTCAAGTGAAAGAAAATATTACAATTTGATCACGGCAACAGCAGTTTGTGAAAAAGTAGTAATAAAGTAATACATATGTTTATTTATTTATTTATTATCCACCAATACTGGAGAGAAAATATATTTACAAAGTAAAACAGATGTGAAGTATATAAAAATACATAGCATCGATTACATTTTAGATAATATGCAATACAGGAGCATATGGTTTATGTATGGGTAAGAGTTCGTATTAAGACGACCGTAGGGAGTCTTATCGAACTCTTACCCATATAACTGCAAATCAGCTCTTACAACTCGATAATCAGATAAAAATATAGAAAGTGTCACCTCTTTAATTAAGCATAAATTATTTTTCCCCAGCAGTTCACGTACAAACAAGGATGGGGTCCAATTACTTAATCTGGCATTTAAAAACAATGAGTTTTTCAACAATACCTAGGATTGTTAATGCAATTCATATCTGTCATATGAAACAAAATAATGTTTTGCTTATTTTTTTCTAGAAAATATAAACAGTCAGCAATTAATAATTGACATTTTTCTTAGAGTTAAAAAGGATATCAAAAAGTTACTGTGTACTCATTTGTCTCTGCGAGCTGAGCTCCACGTGCATTATCTATGTAATAAATTTGAATGTATCCTCACATTGCTACAGTGTTATCAGCCTTTTTAGAAAAACACCTGACCTGGCTAATTAAAATATGCCAAATCACAATTTTCACTATCAGCACTGGTTTCTTCATGAAAAAGCGGCTACACTAATTACTGCCGAGTAAGAGCCTATTTGCAGTTATGTATGGGTAGGAGTTTGTAGACGACCTTAGGGAGTCTTATTATTATCGAACTCTTACCCATATAACTGCAAATCGGCTCTTACAACTCGATATCAGATTAAAATATAGAAAGCGTCACCTATTATTAAGCATAACATTATTTTCCCAAGCAGTCACGTACAAACAAGGATAGGGTCCAATTACTTAATCTGGCATGTAAAACAATGAGTTTTCAAAATACCTAGGCGTGTTAATGCAATTCATTCCTGTCATATAAAACAAAATAATGTTTTGCTTACTTTTTCTAGAAAATATAAACAGTCAGCAATTAATAAATGGCGTTTTTTCCTTAAAGTTAAAAAGTATATCAAAAAGTTACTGGTACTCATTTGTCTCTGCGAGCTGAACCCACGTGTATTATCTATGTGATAAATTTGAATGTATCCCTCACTTTGCTATACAGTGTTATAAGCCTTTTTTAGACCAACACCTGACCTGGCTAATAAAATATGCCAATCCACATAATTTTTTCAACTATCAGCACTGGTTTCTTCATGAAAAAAGCGGCTTCACTAATTACTGCCGAGTAAAAGCCGATTTGCAGTTATATAACTTTTGAAGAATACTTTTAGGCAATGCTGCAGATCAGCTCTTGGTATTGTAGTATTACGTAAGAATACTTGAATTTGTTTTCCGAAAAGCTCATTAGGATAAACATAGCACACATATATACATACAACAAACAGTGCATGAACTTAACAAAAAGCAATGTGACACCCATACATTCCAAAAAGAATCTGTATTGGAGGAGGTAACACATATAAACGTGTATTTAATTTAGATACATATAAAAATGCAATTATATACAATGTATATAATGACTGCACATATAAATCACGAAATTGAAATGTAAGATAATGATATATATCCTTCCATAATACAGGTTAAAATAACCTTTAGAAAAATGCGAAAAACAAAGGTTATTTGACAAAGGTAAATAATCTTACATGAATAATTTTCATAAATATTTTTCATAAACATTAATAATATACTACCATGTGTGTATATTATATTCATTTTCTCTATTAGTTACTGGAAAAATATTCATTTCTGAGTATGAAATCCTTGTGAATAAATAACACTATTTTTGTACATCGTTTTTGTCTTCCGATTTCAACAATACAATAAACTTTATCTTATTTGGGCGTTTCTCAGATTGATTAATAAGGAACATTCCATAATAAAGTGATACTCATCTTCCAAGGAATTGCAAACACTACATTTTCTTTCATAAATTGGTGTTCTGATGTTCATGCTTCTATATTTAATCTATGAGATGATACTCTTAATCTGGTCATTGATTGACAATTTCTTTTTAACATTGAAAAATTCTAGATAGGGCTGAAATTCAAAACAAGCTATGTTTCTCTATATTAAAGCTCTGCTCGATTCATTAATTCTACCATACCAATTTTCGAAATTGACCATTTATTCTTTGTTGTACAAAATATAAAAATACATCAATGTTGCCAACACTTTGCTATAGCCAAGCATCAAAGAAACCCAGAGTACATATTAATACTTTTAATGATGAACACCAGTTTACTCTATTTGAAAAAACAAATCTTAATAATCATTCTTTAACATATGATACACTCCATGAACATATTTGTTTTCATGTGAATGAATAGTTTTTAACAATAATTTGATAATATTTAAAAAATGTGTACATTTTGAGCTTGTTTTACTTAATTCCCCACATACAAAATAATTTTTTGTTGTTTTCTGTACCGCTAAGATTTTTTTAGAAAACTGTAGATGAATAATTTCAATTGCCGCATTATTAGTAAAACCACATACTTCGCTGCAGTAATTTAAAATAGGGGTAACAAGTTTGTCAAATAAATCCAATTTAGGAGAAAAAAAAAAAAAAAAAAGAAAATACGTGATCCATGTTGGATTTGAACCGCTTCACTCGTGACTAAAAATAGGCTTGTAATATTGTTGAATTCTTTCTTAAAAAAAAAAGAATAAAAAAGTCATTACCTAAATATAATACCTTAAGTCTTTTTAAGTTTTCAAAAGATATTGTTTCAATAACTGTCCTTTGTGAAGCTTGAGTTCTATTGAGCATATCACATTTTTTTTCTTTTTCAGATAAATTTATTTCTGTATATATACAAGTATGACTCGATTTAAAGCAAAATACCAAAGTCTTGACAAGTATGTACACACACTTTTATATTTTTATATAAAGTAAAAAAGTAGTCTTGACAATACAAGTATGTACACACACACACACGCGCGCAAACGCGCAAACGCACACGCGCACACGCGCGCGCGCACACACACACACATATATACATATACATATATAACAACAACAACAACAACACCACCAACAACAACATACAGAGAACAACCAAACATGCATGAGAGACCCTTAACATAGCATAAATTTATTAAAAAAGTAATCACGATTATCACATTGTTTTACACATGATAAAATCTCTTTTTGTACTAATAAGATAGAATCATAACATCTCATAACATTCTTTTTAATCTTTCCTGTAGCATTTGCAGCAGCAGAATCAAGACTTAGTGAAGAATAGAAAATATACTTTAAGCGTTAAATTTACTTTTTGGGTTGATAAAAATTCTCATTTAACGATAATGTTTCAGCATTAGTAAAATATTAGCTCAGTATCAAAGTGTAATTCTAAAGTTTTATTTGTTTCTTTTTGGTTTTCAAATGAAATTAAAACTACTATAATACAGAAAAAGCAAATATGCTTATTTGGACCACAGACTTAAGTTGTCCATTTATGTCCGTGTTTAGACCAGTTGAGTGGTCACAACATTGTAATTTACGATAAAATTAGGCCAAACTTATCGTAAAACCAAGTAACACATGTAACGTGTTATTTTGACTTAAAGAAATATAAACATAAGCTGATAACTATGCAAACACTACCAACAGTAAAACGCTGATTTTACATCAAGGGATCGTAATATGCTACTGATATAAATTGTAAGCAAGTTCGGTTCAAATTAAATAAAAAACTAAAGCTGCCTTTGTCAAAGGGACACACTGCCAAACACCCATTTATACTAAACGCAATTGTATAAGCCATATTGGCTTCAATGCTCAGAAACAGAAAATCATTATGTAGATATTAAATTAGGTCTGGCAGAACATTTATCATTTACCATCTCCGACTTACTCCTTCTTTCCTGTTTGAAGATGCTTACACAATTCGCAGGTACTTGATGATATTTTCGGAAAATCCTTCAAAGAGCAAATTCCTAAGCCAGTCAAAAAGCATTCAATTGGTGTAACAACACAAAAACCACAGTCAAATCCACCCTCTACTATTCCTAGACAAACAAGTTCATCATTTCTTGACACAAATACAGGTGCCCCTGAATCACCTTCCTTAGCAAAGCGTTCCTGAAAATTAATTGGCCACACCTCAAGTTGGTTATGAAGTATAAGTTGAAGACAATCGTTTTGCCAAGGAAACGTTAACTCTCGTACAATGCCACTGTCAAATGCAATACGACCATGTGAAATTCCGGAAGCGCTGCCAAATTTCAGGACGCCTTCATCATTTTGTATTGTCATACGGTCAGCTACAAGTCCAGATTCAAATGTATGTTCTAAAACAACAAGTTGATAATAAATAATCGTAAAAATAAGTCTGTGAAATACATGCTAGTAAAAGTTGAATGCATCAGAAGAAAGGGATATGATCAGCTTTGGAAATTAAGGAAAATGATTGCCTTAAAAGATGACGTGATAAAATCTATTCGAATTCTCTAAAGAAGTCAGTGTGATGTTAATTTCAAATATATTAGGCAAAAAACCGTGTGCGGTTTTTTTTCCATTAAGTTTAATCACAAATGTATTATTTCTTGCTTTGTAATGACTATATATAAAAGGATTACCGTGTATTTTACCGACAAAGTCGCTTATCTTTCCAGAAAGTGGACATCTTGATTTTTGAAGTTCGATCAATGCGATTTCCATCCCGCTTTTTCCATTACCACCTTCTTCGTAAGCAACTTTCACCACTTTCCCTAAAATTTCACTTGATTTCGGCGGCTGGTAAACTATACTGGCAAGTACTTCGTCAGAGTTTTCTGGCTGATTAATAAATGATTTGTTGCTACTCTTATCTAAATTTTTCTTGAGCAGCAAATGAGGCATAACAATGTGTGCGCATGTAAACCCATACAGGTTGTCTGAATCCTTTAACTCAAGAAACCCGCTGAGTGTTCCGGAACAAATGCATCCGCTCACCTCTGCCGCAATTTCAACATTCTGTTGATAATCAGAACTCTTTTGACCATTCCGTCCGAGTCTCATAAATGCACCTTCTCGTACATCAACTGCAAACCCATCATATTCATTTTCAAACGGATCTTCATCTATTGGTATAAAATGCTTAGCATGAACGTAGAAGACGATACATGGGCATGGAATTTTTTCCCATTCACTTGTTCCATAATTTTTAGACTTAATAGAGCCTGCTGAAATTCCACTTAACATTCTGTGTTTTTGTAACAGGGTCTTTGATTTTTTTTCGATAAATGCTTTTATCATTTTAGCATCGTTCGGGCTAACTTTATTTTTTGGATTTGTTTTGCTGAATGTCACCTCCCTTGTCTCCGCATTGCACTTGCCTAAAATACGAACTTTATGTTCATAAGTGACTCTATTTCTTAAGTCAATGTCCTCTTTCACACAAAGGACGAAAGCGATATTGATTTTTCCAAGTTCATTTATGGTATAAGCTGCATATACCCCATCAATCTTTTCTGAAATGCCTTTGATGTGCTCGATAATCTTGCCACAACATTTCTTCATGACAGATGATTTTCTTCCTCCTTCAAACGTTATAGCAATTGTTGATAGCTGATCCTTTGTTGGACGTATATTTTTACTAATCAAATACTCGGCTATATCTTCTGATTTCTCCTTCAAGCATTTTTCCCAAGACGCATCTACATTTAAGAGGACAGTAAAAATACCATTACCTTATGGCACTTACGATAATTCATGGTGTATATATATAATTAAATATTATGAAAATATTAAACTAATTTTGAAGAAAAAAACTTTGTTTAAAGTTAAATTGGCATTTGCATGCTTTTACAATATTTCAATGAAGAGGTACAGAAAGATGATTATATGTTGCAACCGTCCACTATCTGAATAATTTTTGTGATAATCATTGAAACCGAGTAAAATTCTTGATGAAACTTTAAAAAGAATAATACATGTCAAACAATAATTACGTGAAAATTCTTCCAAATAATTTTCACTAGGTATAGTATCCATGATGTGAGAACGGTTATTACTAAACCAAATCAATAACAATATAGTTGATACCCATTAATAGCTCAGGGTATTTTGAATAATTGTGTAAAAGGCTTGCTGTATTTTCCCTACATAAATAACTTAAACTCTCTAATACTTTGTCACAATAAGTGCATAAGATTTGTGATTAAGACAGTAAACTGAAATTTAAAACTCTATCGACTGCATATAAGTTACTCTACGATAATATTTCGATTTTTTCTTTGTCTACGATAACATTGAAAAAATGAATTGTAGTTAACCTTGTTAACTTTGATCTCAATGTTGTTTTTTTTTTGTTTTTTTTTTATTTGATTTTTTGATATATTAAAGACAAAAAAGATTAATTTTGAGGATTGATATTGATAAATAACTATATGTTCCTCTTTTTGTCCTGCCTAAAAGGATGGAAGATACTTATCAAATATCATGATTAATTTTGATACAGAACTGTTTTTTTTTTCAAAAACATTTCCGAAAGTCTCTAGATGCAAAAATAAGTTCTTGTGTTTTCAAATAAAAAGTACCATTGCATGTCGAGTCGGCCACTGTACTATTTTTGTCATGCTGGGTGACATTTGAAAGTTCCATTTCACAACTTTGTTTGCCACCTATTATCATTGATAAAAATGATTTCCTCCCCTTCGAATGAGCTGCAAACGAATAATGCCTTAAGGCCCGGTCAGACAGCCTTTCGCGTCTGTATCGCGGGTAAAATTTCGCGATTTTTTTGCCCGCGGTTGCCCGTGGTGGAAAATGTGCAAAATTGGCTTACCCGCGGTTTACCCGTGGTATGCCCGCGGAACAGACGCCGGCGACTGTTCCGTGTCCTTATCGCTGATGAAGCGCGGCGGTACCGTGGCCTACCACGGGTATAATAAAGCAGCCGAACCGGGCTGTAAAAATCATAACCGCTCAAGACACAGTCCCGTGAAGATCAAGCTATGGCACCGAACAAGAAGCCCAAGTCGAGTTCCCCGGCCAAGAAGAAGCAGCATGCGAGCAAGAAGCAGAGCGCGAAGGCAGCAGATGAAGGCAGCTTTGGATCTTCATTACGGAGCTCCACCACGAGACGATCGTACAGCCCAAGCTCAGGTCTCCTGCCAATCCAGTCGCGCACCCAAATGTTCCGGACCACCCTCCACCTCCTCCTTCGACTTCTTCTGTCAATGAGGAGCTGATGGACCTGTACCACTTGGTTTTGATGCTGCTGGAGCAGCAAGACGAGGTCATTACGGTGACAGGGATCCATGTTTACCCCTTGACGTCTGAAGCACAACTGACGAATGCTCGGCAAATCGCGCTTTTTATATACCTAAAATCAGACGTTGTACGCGACGCGATTAGGCCGTGGACAATCGTATTTGGGACGTGTACAAGACGCAATTGAACGTGATTAGGCCCGGTATTGGGGGTCTGTTTACGCGGAGAAAGGCGTTTGTCGTGCTTACACGCGGTACACACGCTAATGCACGTGATAACAACGCGGTACAGACGCGAAAAAGTGCTATGACCGTGGCTCCACCCGCGATTACCGCTAAAATTTCGCGTCCTTCCGCGTGAACCACGTCTTAACCCGCGGCCGTTGCACGTCTTAGCACGTTTGTTCCGCGTCTGTACCGCGTCTTTACCGCGTGTGTATCACGTGTACGCCCGCGATTACCCGCAGTCTAAATTTTTGGGCAGCCCAAAACTTTTTCGCGCGGCCAACCGCGTGTGAATTTCTTACCGCGTGTATCGACGGGTAAAGTACGGCTGTATCGCGTCTTTATCGCGACCTCAAACTGTCCAACAGCGTCTGCTTCACGGGCAAAACTTTTTGGCCGTTATTCGGCCGCGATACGCCCGTGGAGGGCTGTGTGACCGGGCCTTCAATCTGAATAAATTAAGTACAGTCTCAACCGTGTAAATACATGTATTATACCTTTTGATAATACAAAATTGCAATGCAGAATATGATGGTATCTGACAGATGAAAACAACAATATTAACTTTAAAAGAATAATATATTTTGGAAATTAACAAAGCGTAGACAATATGCACTACTTAAGGTATTACCATCCTAATGCATTACCTCCGCTTTGAAGAGTATTCAAATAGGCTAGAACTACTGTTAACTACATTGAAAATGAGGCCGTGGTTCAATCCCATAAGGGGGTCACACTTTTTTTGTCTTTCTTTTTCTTTTAACATTATTTATGTATGTCTCATGTCCCATTTGGAAAGAAAAAAAAGTGTTTAATTTTGATTTTTTTAATTTATATAGGTATTTATTGGCTAAATTATTGCTAAATCTAGCAATAAATATGGTACCTGATAGTTTTTCAAAGTGTAATAAAATCAAAACTATACCGGTAAATTATTTCATATTTTACAAGATCAAACCAATATACTTCTTTAAACATTTAGGCGGGAAACTTTGAAAAAAACAGGCACTCATTTGGGTAAATTTTAAGGATTTTTTAAATTAGGCTCCCTAAGTAGGAAAATGGTCAGACACGTGGTAAAAATGGTGGTGCAGGGTACATTTTTATACAGATTTCATTAAATTTTAAGTAGAAACCATAATTTTGCTTGTGTGGATTGTTTAGCTGAATGGTACTATTTGTTTCTTACAAAAAAAATAATGGGAAAACATTTTTCATTAGAATTTTTAAAGGTTTCTCATTTCTAAAAAAGGGCCCTCATAACATCCTAGCTTGAGTTCAGAAAAGTGGCCATAACTTGTTTTCCGTACGGTAAACTTTGTTTAAATTTTGCATACAGGTGTAATTTAAGGTATATATCTGACCTATGATGTCAATTTTATAGTTTCTCATAGTGCCCATTAGGGTGGTAATACTTTAACATTTAATGATAAGATCTATTTATGTAACATCTATATACGCTAGTCACTTAATGTGGATACGTGCACTGATTACACATGCACAAACTGGAACAAAAATCTGTTAAATATAAAATATATCATACATGTATATCAAGATTATTCATATTAAACTTACCCAGACATTGTTTTGCTTTCTCTATGCCATTTGATGAGCAATTGGCGATTATGTCATGCGATTCAATGCCATATTGTACATGTAGCCATCGTCTAAGATCAAACAGTTTCTGATGAAATTTGTTACAGTTGATAGTCTTGAGAAAATCTTCCATGGCTTCAGAACCTAGACAGTTGATTTGTATGTCTGTTGACGATTGATCAGAGGAAGAAACATCAACGATATGGCAATTTTGTACAGCTTTGATGTATTCTACGAGCTGATAGACTGGTGTATCAGTTGATCTTTCATCCAAAGGCGAACCAGTCATATCATCTTTATCTTTAATATAGTCTCTTATTACTTCATAAACTCGTTGATTCCCTTTAGCATTTTTTTTACCATTTTTAGCAATAACTTTTATCTGTAGATCAAGCAAGAAGTGCTCTGAAAAAAACAACAAAATAAAAAAACAAAAACATGAATCATGCATATCAAAAACAAAGTGAATGCTTGCGTGATTATCTGTAAAAGCATGTTTCCGTCTTTGTTAAAATGCACGTAAAACCTTACGTGCGCAGTTTTTATGCAAGATCAACAAGGTAAAGTTAGAAAACTGATATTTTGACTATGAATTATTTATATATACTGAACCAAAAAAGAAACTTTCGCAAAGTATGTGCCAGTTGTTCAAGGGTACCACTTAGATGTACACACATATATACATGTAGTAGCTTGTAAAACTCGTTTTGTTTGCAAAATCGGTCAGCTAATCCCCGTATAAAAGCCCGATATGTTTATTCAACGTAAAAATCGAATTTCAAAAGGATTGAAAAACTGTACTAACATATCACCATTCAAACTTGGAGAAAGTTTCTTTTTTGTTTCAGTAAAATATAGCTAGCTCAACTCATTTAAGCTATATTCTTATTTTAGTCTTCAAACAAGTAAATGTATAAATTAACAATAATGTTCTTTATCTGTTTTCCTTTTGTCTTCTTTTCAATGTTAACAAGTCTTTATTGAAAAGAGTTGTGATTTTCATTTTTTTTAAATTTAGTACCTTTAAGCTTCTTTTGTTTTCCCGCGAATCTTAGATTTTGCAGAAGTCGAAGCTCATTTTCTTTATCTGTAAATAAAAATACAAGTCGATCAATTACGGAAGTTTATGTAAATAATATTCAATAATGCTATACAGCTAGAGTATATGCGTATCCTATTTTCAAGTAATTCGGCATGTATATGAATGGGAAGAATACATCTATAACCCAAATATTTTGCAAAATTACTTTGACAGACCAACACTTGTGTGTTTGTTACTTCAAATCAACAACAACAACAACAACAACAACACCACCACCACCACCACCAACAACAACAACAACAACAACAACAACAAAACGTTTCTGTTCATAGTTACAAGCCACTTAAAAGGATATAGTTTGCCTACTCCGGAATGTTTTGTTTTATACATGTAGATGAAATTACTATAAATATTTATTGATTATTCTTTTACAAGCAATACTTTTTCAGAAATTTAATGTTCTTTTGATTGTTTATTCTTTTAGAAATAAAAACGTTTTTCTAAAAAAAATGTTTCTTGCATGACCTCATTTATATAAACTTATTACAGTGTGAAATTTTCAAACACCTTTTTCATGATATATGTCTATTCATTATTTTCATTTCAAAATCTGATTCTCTTTGTAGCTTCTATATTGTTTTAAATTTATTTTCTCTTGTAGCTATTTATACATTTTTTACAGGTATATCCCCTTTAAACATGAAGTCATTGGGCCAACGACGGAAAATCGTCGAAGAAGAGTCGATGTTGGGCCAACCTAAGGTCAACTAGGATTTTTAGGGAGGCTATGCCTCTCCAATGTTAAAACCGTTCATCTTATCTTACAGCAGCAGTAATAAGGTCAAAAAAATAGCACTTATCACCATTATTTAAAATTTAAAACAAGTTTTTGTTCTTAACCATCATACTGGCTATTTGTAAAGTTTATAATTCTCAGAGAAACTCTTGGTTTAGAACGTTGGCGTTGTGATTATTGTAAGAGAATACCGTAGTCTCACTATCATGAATGTTCTTTTGTTGTTATAAACCATTAATAGTTCCTAAAATATTATTTTTTGAAAAGACAAACTAATGATTAACTGTCGCTTAGATAACTGCGTAATAACTATATATGTACACCCTAGGAGGATGTACGCAGAAAACGCAACAAAACCGCTATATCATATAGCTGTAAGTAAATATTTTGCATACATTTAACTAAGAATTCACTAATTATGATGAACATATAGTTTGAAAACATTATATGATTGAACCATTTTTGCCGAAAAAAAACCCACTTTTTAACTACAAAACCCGTAAGGACAGTCCCAAGAATACATTTTACATTGGCAAAATAAAAACAATACTTACATTTTTATCTCAAATAATTCATCAATCAAACTTTTAACATAAAAGAATCTTTAAAAAAATATGTCTGGAAATTTATAGGTCCCTAGACTTTAACCTTTGATTTGAATAAGAATAAGTGCTCTTTTGTTTAGAAATACATGTATACTGTGGTCTACGTCTCAATGTATCCAGTAACCTCATAATTAGAATGACACAGGTCAGGGATCTATACAACCAGTTGTTTAGTAAATTAAGCTCATTTTTAATATGAATGACTTACAGTCGAGCATTGGGAATCCATCAACATATTTCACGAATCTTTAATTTGAAAACGATATTTGCCGCTGAAGCGATTAATAATTTGAATAAATAAAATCAAAAACATATATATTTGTGTTATAAAAATAATCGGCGGCATAAGGAATTTCATATTCATTTTACAACACTTGAAAAATTACCACATATTTTTTTTCAACAAAAACTTCCATAATACGCTATTTATAATACAATTCATAGAACTGACGCTTCGATGTTCTCATCTATTTGCGGGAAATGGTAAGACGTACATGATCGATAGGGATAACCCTACGTAATAACCGCAACAACAGATTTCCCGCAGTTCATATATCAAGTTAGTGAGGTTTAAACGATACATAAGTTGTTTGAAAAAAAAAACCCATATAACGTTGGCTGTGAATCAGGCGACCTCATCCTGGGTTCGAATCCCGGACGGCGCAGGTCACCTTCGTTGTAATTGATCACGAACTCCTTTCTACGGTCATTCGCACTGTACCTCTGCTCTGGCATGTGCAGAAGTTTTAGTTCCTTGTGAAAGTGAAGGCATTTAGTACTCTGGTTAACTGTCTGACAGCCTGCCCAGGAACGATGCGGTGGTTGACTTGTGCTCTGGTGAATACAATTCGGCTTATTATCGTGATCCGGAGTGAAAACTACTAACACCACCACCACCCATATAACTTCCTGATCATTTTTTTACTGAGATTGATTCATTTTGAATAAGCTTTGCAGATATGTATTTTTTCAAAAAAATATTTAGCTTTAATAATTATCTGAAGCCGTCAAAGTCAGCGACGAGTAATGAAATGGGAATAATTTTCTTTTGAAATATGAATAATAAATACCATGATTTTATTCGAGGTTTGCTTGAGAGAAGACAACTTTATGTCTGTAGAGCATGAATATTAATACTAATCACAATACAGTATCTTTATTGATCTCAGTTATGTTATGGACCCTTTTACAGTACGATGTTTCCATAGCAACGAATGTTGCATTTCGCGCATGCGCATTCTCTGCGGATGATCACGTGATCAAAATCGTACAATGGGCTCATAAAATGGCGGCTTAAACGCTCGGTAAAAGCAGTGAAATTGAGGTAAGCATACAGTTAACGTTTAATCTATATGTAAAACTAGGCCGCACGGAACCCCTGTATAAAAACCACGTACTGTTCTGTTAATGGTTACTTTGTAGCTCTCTCTGTTTAGGCCTGAAAGTCGAAAAAGTTGTTTTGGGTGATGAGTACAATGGCCGAACTGGTACTAAAGTGCGTTGTGTTCATTAAAAGAAACGCATTTTGAGTAAAATTAGAAATGGCATCTTGTGCACAATTGCAAGTGTGCCCGTCAAGAACAAAGTCAATAATTTGTAAAGTTGCATAACGGAGTTGTGCATCTTTTTAAAAAACGAGTACAATGGTCGAAACAAATTTAATAAGTACAATGGCCGAACCATTTTATTGCCTGTCCTATTTCGTCAATTTTGTCATTGAATTATGCTTGTTTCTCGCTTCCTGTCTTTGAAATCACACAAATATGATATTTGAAAGTGAAAAGTAGGAAGAAGTTTTAAATTAAATGAATTCAGTTTGCTTGCTATATGAAAATTGTTCATGACGGGCCAACTTGCAATTGTGCACACGATGTTATATAATATTTATATGTTAAGCTGTCCAAAGTGCAATCATAAAATGTTTACAATGAAGATCTCTGAAATCTGTCAGACTAAACTCTCATTAACTCTTGTTATATAAAACTTTTAAAGAAATAGGGTATTTTTGCTCTTTGCCAATCCTTTACCACGTTGAATGCCTGACTGCTCAGACGCATTATAATACAGAACAGAACTTTTTTAATTCAGCCTACAGTAAACGGTTGAAAGATGTAAGTAAACTTTTTAAATATGTAATATTTTTTATTTTTGTTGTTGTTGTTGTTTATTTAATAAAATGATTCTTTTTTCATTTCATTTCTTTTGTCTCTTGTCACAGTTTCGTGTATCGGAACTATTAACACGTGTGATTTGATTTAGTCATGTGATAAGTATAAAATGGCGGATAGTGTGGATGAATGAATGAATTCTTACAATCTGCTAATGATTACTTATTAACCTTGAATCTTTTCAACAATACTATATTTTTTAAATGTAGATGAATATATTTAAGGTAGAATTTATAAAAGAATGGCTGAGATATGCAAAAGACCGTGAAGAAAAACAAGGACAGGGTGGAGACAACTAACTTTGACAAAAGTCATTTAAGTAAAAAAAAAATAACTCTATAAAGACATTCAATATGTTTTTTTCTATGTGAATTTATAAAAATCATTGTATATATATATTGTATATATATATCTTAAATGATGTTCTCAGATCTATATTGGTTAAAAAAAAGATATTCCATTTGCTTTAATGTATTCTGAATTAAATGAAAGTTAAATATGTGTTTGGTTCATTTTAGAACAAACACAGTGCCAACCAGTAAAAAGGCATTATTCGGAAAGATATTATTTTTTAGTTTGTCAGACCTGAAGCTAAGGATGATATTACACCTGTGTGGTTGGCCAAATGATTTTGATAAGAGTAATGTTTTTGGCCCATATTTTGGGCAAGCATAGCTGATCAAATTTGTATGGTTGACCCAACAAAAGGCCAATAATGATGATAAAAAGTATGATGTTGGCCCAAAAGAGGGCCAGCAATGACATGAATTTATATGGTTGGCCCAATGAGTAGTTGGGCCATTGAAGGGCCATCGATGGTGAAGACAAAAGTGAAATTAGCCCAACAAATGGCCAATTATGATAACTTAATTTGTGCGATCGGCCCAACAAAGGGCCAACAATGTAGTCTTAAAAATGTGGTTGGCTCAATGACTTTGTGCAACTTAAGGGAATAAATGTGTATTTCTTTTCAAACGGATACAGGATTTTTAACTGCACTGTGACATGTATCTCGATAATACTTAGTTGGTTTCAAATCATGGCCAACTGACCAAGAAGAATTTTTGTCTAAGAATAAGCTCTTATTTGTTCAAATTAAAATTCTAGGACAAACCTTTAATCTGTTGCTCTATCAGTTGAAGTTTCAATTCATGCTGAAGAAAAAATGTTTAAATGTTGCATCATATATATTATTCGAACCATCCGCTTATCGTGCATAAACATGACGGAGAAGGTACTAAATTTTTATTATATCTATTTTGGTAATAGTAACGGAAATAATACTTACGGAACACTAGAATAGTTCGGATACCACCGTCTAAATACTACATTTGAAAACCTTAGATAGAAGTCAGTAGGTAACAACTGACCACAAAGTATATTTACGTAATAGCACTTTTATGTCATTCAAAATTGTATTTTTTCCATAACTAACGAATGTAATGTTAAATAAATCCAAACGAGGCTATATATTCAAGCGTGCATGCTGATTAACAGGGAAACTTGTATCAATGACAAGTGATAGACATCTGTTTCACCATAAATGTCTCTTTCTCAGTAATGATTCGTATGCAACTAGACTAGCAACTTAAGAATCGCAATACTTTTAAAGACCTTTTTATGAGACTTGAAAACTTATATTTCCTAACTTTACTATTGCCTTACTCGGTCCTTAAACCATGTTATTACTCATCAAATGCATTAGCTATAAAATTTGCCTGTTGCTTTGCTGTTTGGTATTTTTTTTCTAATCTAGATATCCCATGCTCTCCCAACTCTCTCGTCTCATGTTCAAGGTTAACCTCAATCTGATTTTGTTGCACCTGCAAAAGAAATTATGATAGGACTCCGGTCCGTAAACTCATTTAAACAATTTTCATGTCAATACATAAATGAGTGAATGCATATTGGGCACATTTTTGTGTGTATGTGTGTGTGTGCGCATGCACGCGCGTGCGTGTGCGTTGTTGTTATATTGTGAACTTGTCCAACTTCAACCAAACTTGGCAGGATTGTTCCTTGGAGAACGGGCTTCCAAGTTATAGCCCTGGGATCAAAATTTGCCGCGCCCCGGGGTCATTGATTATTATGTACAGATAGTAAAAAGTTTAAAAACAGAAACAAAAACAAATATTTTTGAAAAGGAGAAAGCTAGAGCTTAGATATTTGACATGAAACAAAGTCTGTTGGACCTACAGCAAGATTGTTTGAACAATAATTTGTAACAAAGTTACAAACGTCCCCCGCCAAACGGAATGTTTTTATAAAACACAAAAGAGTGTTATTTCAAAAGATTGAGGTAATAAATTCAGGACTTTCGGTGGAAAATGTTGATCAATGCTACACCTGCCTGCTTATGTCAGTAACAATAAATTCATTAAAAGAGATAGAATAAAATAGTTCGGTATGTATGCAACAACAGAAATACATTTGTATACTTGTTATCAAATATTTCAAAGCACAAAATGTTCATGTTCAGTCATCAATCAAGGTATGGTGGGCAATTTCACCAATGACATTTTATTGCAAGGCCCTGCACTTGGTGGTATCATACCATGTGCATACTATTTTATGCTTTGACCTCCAAGTGTGACCCTGACCTTTGAGGTAGGCGTCTAGGTGTTGCGCATGATATGTGGGCTTATTAATCTAAATTAAATTAAATTAGTTAATCTAAATTTCCTTGGTTGATGAAAAGTCATAAACCGCACACAATACACACCCTAGGCCATATTAAGCTTTGGCAATCAAATGTGACCTTGACATCAGAGGTAGGAGTCTGGCTGTTCCATATGACACATGATCCCATTATTGTGAACATTTTTGCCAAGTTATTTCAAAATCCGTTAAACAATAAAAATATGGACTGCACACAAAATATTCCCTTTAGGAGACCATGTTAAGCTTTGACCTATAAGTATGGCCTTGACCTTGGAGAAAAGGGTCCGATTGTTGTGCATG